GCAGGAGGTGCCTGGACTTAAAGTCTGAGGCAAGAGAGCGATCCCAACTTTGTCTCTTACTGCCTCTGTGGCTTTGGGAAAGAGATTAATCTCCTGGAGCCTCACTTTCCCCAGTTGTATAATGGGGACGAGGGTGCTGTCTCAGGAAGGAAGATGTGAGGCTCCAAGGAGATTATCTGGTCCTATTTAGACAGGGACCCATTCTGGTGAAACTGTTCTCACCCTGATGTTGAGGTCTGGCCTTGTTCCTCCTTGCCTGGGTCCTCTGAACCTCCCGGTTCCTTCTCAGAGGCCTAATGCTTGATGTTCCGTTGCGGTGGGCACTTTCTTTATGAATGTCAACTCTTTCCTTTAGGAAAGCCTAAGGGGGACTCGAGGTATGGAGGTCCCAGGAGAAGCTGTAAGGGAGTAAGATTTGGGGGACAGAGCTACTCTTGATTTCAGCCACCCCTCCCAAGAGGCCAGGAGGGCCTCTGCTGTCATGTGACTATACTCCTGCTTGGCGAGGAGGCTGGAGTAGTCTTGGCAAGACTCTTTCTCAGGGCAATAGCGTCTGAGAGTGAGAGCTGGGTTGTAAAGCAGGGACTGGCCTCCTGGGCTAAGGAACGAAGAATGGGCTCTGGAGAAAAACGGGTCTTGAATTCCAGTTCTGTCTGCCACTCCTTAGCTAGCTAGCTCAGTGTTTTTTTTACAAATTGACACCCATTTCTGCTTTAGTCTTCTCATCTGCAGAATGAGAATAGGCCTTATTCAGACTTCTTTAGCTGCAAAGAACAGAACATCACTTGAACCCATTTAGACAAAGGAGAGTTGAGCAAGGAGCCAGCAGGGGGGACTGAGACCCGAACACTGCAGGGAGCAGAGGTCACTTGGGGACTGCTGCTCTGTCCATCTCTGTCAGTGGATCTCCCTTGCTAACTGGTCATCTCTACTACTCTTAGGCTGACTTCTGCCCTCTTCCCTATGCCCCTTCTCTCTGCCTCACAGCTTCTCCTCCCTCAGAATCCGTGCTTTAGTGCTCACATGTCATTGCTCATGGCTACAGCTCAACTCCAAGGCCCCTTGCTCTGGGTCCCTTATGATTTTCACTTCTTTCTCTGGTTGCTCCCTATCCTTCCAGGTCCAGGGCATGCAGAGGGAACCTGGCTGGCCCTGCTTGTTTTTCTGATCCAACCTTGCCAAAGCGTCGGGGCTGTTTACACTCTACACTTGATCAGGGGTCTGAGGCCTTCACCCATCTGAGGGAGGGACAGGCTCCTGGATTGCTTTGCCTTGTACTGGACGGGGATGGATGAACTCATGTTTATAAAGTGCTGCACATTGGACCTGACATACCAAAGTGCTCAGAGAAGTCAGGTTGAATAAAACTCTGAAACCCTTCTCTCCTACCACAGACCCTTCAGCCTTGGGTTCCCCTCACCTCTGCCACTTTTCTTGGCTCTGTTTTCTTCCTGGGCCCCTTGGGCTTGGGGTGGATGATCTTACCATCCAGAGCCTCCACAACATTCCACGCCTTAGCAAACTTTCCACTGAGTCCTCTCAACCTCAGCTCTGCTCTCCCTCGTGGCAGACTTGCGGCCCAGGTCCATGTCACTGGGAAGGGAACAGCTGACATTCACTGAGCACCTCTGTGTGCTGGACCCTGTGCTCGTCACAATCCTCTCTTGAGAAGAAACTTTTTTTCCAGGTGGAAAACAGATTTAGCATGAAGAGGTGTGAACTCAGCTTTAACTCAAAATCCTTGGTGCAGAAGCAGAGCTTTTAGGTGAGCTCCCCATTCCTCCCTCTCTGGAGTTTCCACAGGCCACACCAATACCTTTCTTCTTCTGGCCAGCCTTGTAAGATGAATTAGTGATAGCTGACTTCTACTGACCATGAACAACTAATTTACACCAAACACTTAATATGTGCCAGACACTTCTTTTCTAAGCCAGTTACATGTATCAGCTGGTTTAATTTTCATGCTAACTCTATTGGATAGGCACTGTCAGGATCCCCATTTTGCAAATCCCTGCCTTAGGTTAAATAACTTGACCAAAGCCATGCTGTCCTAGTAGATCAGGATTCACAGCCAGGCCATTGGATTGCAGGCTGTCATCTTAACCACTGTGCTGTAGTACAATGGTCAGAGAGCAGGCTTCCCTCCAGTTCCAGGCCCTCACACCCATTTCCTGCCCACTTCCTCCAGGAACTGTTTCAGCAATCACCCCTCCTCTCTTTAATCTTCTGTCTCCACTGACTCCTTAGCCTTCAATATGTTTATGACTTTCCCATCTCAAAAGCGTCCTCCACCCCATTATTCTACCATTCTTCTTCTTCATTCTCACAACCCAGTTTCTTGAGATTTTTACTTGTTGTTCATACTTCCTCGTCCTTTTGCAAACCGGCCTCTACTTCCTTGACCCCTTCCATCTAAACCACCCTAAGCATATGGAGATCATGCCCCTAAATTTCCAGGGGAAAATAATTATTCCCTTCGACAGGGAATCTGCCAAACACAAAATTAGCTTTGCAAATTGCAAAACATTTTACAGCTCTAGTAGTTCCATCATAAATTTTTCCATCAAGATTAAACAGATGAGCAAAGATAAACATGAAGCGCTTTGGTATAACTCAGTTGGCAATGGCACTGTGTGGAGGCGTCTCTGTCCAGCTCACATGCACTCGAACATTACACCCAGCCAAGGTGCCATTCAAATGTAAGGACCACAGCCAATGTGTCCTTCAAGGCAGCAGACCCATACCTGCACTGTCCCTTTCCCTTGGTACAAACAGTTCTTACCCCTTTTGCTCCTTTAATATCTCAGCCACGCTGGATTGTGATATCTTTCTTGGTAAATACAATTATTTGGAAACAGTATCAAAGTAAGTCCCTTTTTTCTTTTCAGTGGTTTTTGAGTTATCATACCCGTATAACAATCTACATACATTTTTCTTTCTTCCTTCCTCCTCCCCTCTTTCTTCTCTTTTTCTTTGTTTCTTTCTTCTCTCTCTCTCCTCCCCCACCTCTGTCTCTGTCTCTCTCCTATCATCTTCTCTTTTCCTCCCTTCCCATCCCTCCTCTTTTTCCCTTTCTACTGTGGAAGACAGGAGTCACTAATGCACCAGGGCCAAAGGACTCCCCACTCCCACTGCACAGGACTAATTAATTCTGGGCCAAGAGGAGGGTGGTATGGGCCCCTCCAACTGCTTAGTATCACTGTGCCCATAAAGGACACTTTGCCAAGATTCCCAGTGACTACTGCCTGAAGCGCCTCTGCTCCAGTGTGGCCTGCTGCTTCCTAAACCCTGTTAAAATTTTAGCTTTCACCTTTCTGACCCCTCCACAGCACTGGGGACCTTCCCAGAGCAAGTCCATCTGTCCTTGGCTGACTTCTTATTATCCTCATTCCCTGTCTGTCCTTTTGTGTTTATTTCCCGAGGGTTGGCGTTCCCTGTGGCTCCAGCCTTCATCTTCCATCCACTGTACACACTCCCACCAGTGACCTTGTCCACTCATATGACTGTGCTTTTCAGCAACTTCCAAATTTCTATTTCCAGACTGGATCTCGGCTCCACACCTAGGTTATGTATTCAACTGCCTCTAATTCAAAAATTCCAAACTCTCCTGCTTCTCCCAAGGCCCCCACCCTCCCTATCTCTGTTCAACTTGTTCACTCTCTCCACACAGGAACCATATCTCATCTTTCACTCCTCTCCACCCTTTGCTTTCCATATGCAAACAATCACAAAAATCAGACGGAGCCTCCATGGACTCTTGGGACACTATGACTTCCTTTCCAGGCTATGGAATTCAGTAGAAAGACCTTGGTTGGACCAACCTGTGTTGAAATCCTGCTTCTACCACTTATTTGACTTGGGCAATTCACTCTAGTCTTAATTTCCATATTTATAAAATAGGGATAATAATCTACTTTGAAGAATCATTGTGAGAATTGAAGGCAGTGATGTAAATACGTAGCACTGTACCTGTACCATAGTAACATTTAATGGTAATATTCATTACAATGAAGATTGTAATTATTCTTATTTCTGGATTCACTGCCATTGTTCTAATCTAGGATCCTGTCTCCCGTCTCCTGGATCATTGCATCAGCTCACTCACTGGGCCCCCTGCCTTCATTCCCCATTCCTACTGCTAAATCTGCTTTTCCGAGAGAGATTGTTTGAAAATGTAGATATGACCATAACACTTACCTGCTTAAAATTCCTTTCTTCCCCAAGTCTATCTACCCTATGCCCTGACCATACCTTCAGGTCTTCCAAGCATACATGGGTCATTTGTGCCCTGCTGTGTTACTCCGTCCCTGCCTGGATGCCTGCTCTCCATGCCCTCCTTCTCATCCCGCTTGTGAGTGTACCTCTTTCATACGCAATGCCAGTGTCTTCCACCTCTCCAGGGAATGTCTGTTTAGTTGGAGTCAAATACCAGCTCCACAGTGGGAGGGGGGAGCAGGTTCCATTCCTTGGTGTGGCCTCTTTTTGCCTGCTCCAGGCTTTCCGTAGAGAAGGGCCTCCCAGGACATTTTTAGACACTTGCCCAAGGTCATAGAGATCAACAGCAAGGTCAAAGCTGGGATCTCAGGTCTCCATCTTCCTGCCCAGGACCCTTTCTCTCCACAGGCCATTTTGCATCAGTGGAGCCAAGGAGACCCGGCCTGGTGCGTGGGGGTGGAGGAGCGCCCCCTGTGAGGACAGCAGGCAACCCGAGGACATTACACATCCCCAAACTCCACGCTGTTCCTGATAAGTGGGGGACGGATAAAATTATCCACTGACCATGTCCTGTACCTCCTCATCTGACATGGGCTAGAGATAAAAAATGAACAACACAAAATCCAATCTTCCCTGGTGCAGAGGCAGGCGGGGGTGGGGGAAGGGCTGGCGGCCCAAGCGGCTGCTCATCACGCACCACATCTCATATTTATTGCCTCATAATTGAAGGCAGCCTGGAGATGTCCCAGCGCTGGTCCCTGACAAGACAGATGGGGGCACAATGACTGCCGAGGGAGGGAGTTAGGACATGGCTCCCTCCCAGGACTGCAGCCGCGGAGGGGAGGCAGCTCGCTGGCAGCTGACTGGCCCCTGCACCGGCCCCAGGGATCTGGATAGGGTTTTAGGTCCTGCTCTGCAACACACTTGTGATCACCCTGGACCAGGCCTTTTCCTCTCCGGACCCAGAATTTCAGGCTTCTGGATTTCATACCCAGGATCTAGAAGAACTACTGTGAGATTCAGGAGAACTTTGGGATTTGGGAAAATCTGAGCTACTAACTTGCTGTGTGACTTTAGGGGAATCTTTTCACCTCTCTGGGCTTTGTATTTTCTCCTTGTAAAGAAGAGTGGATGCCTCCTTCTATATGAAGATCAAGGGGGTTGGGTGGGCCCAGAAGCAGCTAAGCAAGAGCACTGGAAAGTTTTCTGTTGCAGGAAGGTAAAGAAACAAGAAATGCTACTAAATATTAAGAGTCTACCATGGCTCCCAGTTGCTCATAGAAAAGGTCCACATTCTCTGGCTTGGCATTCAAGGCTCTGTGAAATCTACGTATCTCTATCTGTACTGGATATGTCATTGTGGGGAAAGTGTCCTGTGTACAGGAGCCAGCAGCCCTGGTTTCTAGTCAAGTCTCACCGCTGGCTCGTTGTGTGACCTTGGACAGGTCCTTGGTCATCTCCAGGTTTCTCCCCCTGTAATACAGTGCGACCTCGGTTCATGAAGTGTTTTGTTTGCAAGCAATTTGTTTCACAAACAGAAGCGTGTGGTAAAATTTCGTTTTTCTTTGCAAACTCTTCATCAGGTGACAAACACGACTGTGGCCATCTTTTCTACACAACCATAAAGGTGGCCATCTTTTCCAAATTGTAGAACATGTTCAGTCTGTGAACCAAGCACCACTGTATTTGCATATGTGATCTACACAGCAGGTAGGGTGGTGAAGCCCAAGCCAGTTATCAAATTCTACCTGCTTTCCTTCTGAGTGTTCCTAAATGCATCCTTCTCCTGCTTGCCATCCCAATTATGGTCTCTGTCTCACCTCAGTACCTAATTCTCTCTTCTACATCAGTGCAGTGGCCTCAGCTCGCCACACTCCCGACAGAGTGGTTCTAAAGCACACATCTGACCACGCCCCTCCCTGCACCCACCCTGCCCCCTCCCCACACCCTCAGTGAAGCTCCTTAGCATGGCCTGAACATCCTGTCTGATCTGGTCCTATCTTGTCCCCCAGCTGGCCTTGTCACTGCCTCTCTCCAGCTCTGACACCAGGACTGGGCCTTCCCAAACTGGCCACTAGGTGACCCGTGGTCCTCAGCAAAGCCGTGAGTGGGGTTCGGTCTGTGCCAGCACTCCCGCTTTACCTCTCCAGAAGCTTTTGGAGTTCCCAGGTGGACATGGGGTCTGCTGGACAAGTCCCAGGACCTCAGGTATGACTGACGCTGCCTGATCACACTCCTGTTGCTAACAACCAGAGAATGTCTGAGCCGAAGGGCCCGGAGGTAATCTCCAGCAATCATCCATTGTACAGATGGAGAAACTGAGGCCCCAGAGGAACAGTGGTGAATGCAGAGCCAGGGTGGTGGGACACAGGGCTTGGATGGGGCTGCAGAAGAGAGAACGGTGCAAGTGCTTGGGCAGGACAGCTATCTGGCTCTCCCTTCTGTGGTCAGGATTCAGCCGGAGAGATGCAGGGAAGGGGAAGGGGCTTCTGCTGACCCAGTTCCCGTTCTCACTGAGAACCCTACTGGCTTTGTTTGGTTAGGAGCTTGGGGTGTCTCTACCTTACCTCTTGGTCTCATGCCCAGCTTTGCTGGACTGGGGAGGAGGAAGGGCGGGAGGCACAGCAGCCAGGGCAGGCACCATGGCACTTACGGTCAGAGCTGGGGCGATTTCTACAGCAGCCTGCCCTGTGCCCAGCTAGCGTCTCCGGTCCACCAGCAATGAGAATGCGTCCTTTCTAGGAGCAGCACCTCCCTTTGGGAGGCAGCTCTGCCCTGGGAGGAGACTGTTTTCTCCCAGCTGCAGAGGACTGCTTAGAGGAGGTGAGTTCTCTGCAGGGCATCTTCCAGCCCAGCAGAGACTGGGAGGGGGACAGGGCCCCAGCCCTCCTTGAGTCTTGATTGGTTATCAGGTAATGTGGCACCTCCTAGTGTACAAGATTTCTTTTTTTTTTTTTTTTACAAGATTTCTTATCAGGGCTTTCAGAGTGCAGAATCCAGTCCTTACAAAATTCAGGTAGGAAGACTGAGGCCCAAGTAGAATAGGCTGTGCACAATTCTGCCCGTGTGTTAGAGCAGGGCCTGAGATCAGAGTCCAGGCCTTGCGTCCTAGCTGGAATCCTCCGGCACATCTGTTTCCTGTTGGTGGTGTGATGCACCCAATGGGGCGCCTCCCCAGAGGTTCACCAGAGAGATAGGAGCAACTGCTGGCAAGGGCTTGTGCTCCATGAGGAGAAGCCTGCCCTACTGAAGCTCTGAGTCCGGAGAGGGGGTGGCAGGCAAGGGGAGACTTCCCAGTGCCCCCTGCATGCTAGTGTGTGTTCCCCTGCACAGTGGCACAAAGACACCATCCAGCCCTCACTCCCCTCAGACAGTGCTCTGTGTCTCCCGTGTGTGTGTGTGTGTGTGTATGTGTGTGTGTGTGTGTGTGTTCACGCACATACTCTTGTTTGCCTCTACCATCAGTGGACACCAAGGTCATTCACCAGGAAAGAGGGCTTTTGTAAATTCCATCTGCCATGAGGGTACTGCACCAAGGTCATGCCTAGGCCAGCGGTGGTGTGGGCCATATGATTACCTGTAGATTAGTAGTTTGGAGCCAAGCCAGGCAGGGCCCTGAGTGACCGACCAAAGATCCTGGAAACTATCTCACAAGAGATGGGATACAGGGAAGGTTTAAAAGATCTATCATTGCAGTGAAGGTTAGAGATAGCAGGTTAGAGATAGAAAAGTCTCTAACATGTAGCAAGGACGGTGTACTCATGGAGCCACAGAAGATAGGAAGTCAGGGAGGAGGATGGGGCTGTGATACCACAGAAGGACAGTGAGGATCAACACAGGCAGAGGTCAGGAAGATGGACTTGATAGTCTTCTCGCTGCTGTGTTCACCCCCAAGGAAACAGCAGACTGCAGAATGAGAGAAGAGAAATCAAATGGATGGCCTAGGTTTAGTCCAGGGACTGCGGTGGAGGTCAGAAAGCAGGCTTCTCCACAAGGGAATGTTTCAGGCCCAACCTTATTCCAACTTCATTCCCTTCTCTATCTACTCGTCTAACATCTACTCACCATCCATTTATCCATCCATTCATCCTTCCACTCACTCTTCAACAAAGACTTTCCCTTTCCCAATCATCCATGTACTGGGGACCCAGAAAATGATCAGTGATGATCTTTGCTCCTATGGGACCAGAGAGACACACCTGCTTCCTCACCCTCCTGTTGTTTGTCCTTGATCATGGGAAGGTGATAAATGTGGCTGGCTGGCATTTCTTCCTAGAAAGTTATTAGTCATGTAAAGCCTGGGGCTCAGGAGAGAGTCTCTATTCTGACTGCAGATCAGTGCTAAAGTTATAAGTCCTTGCCCTTAACATGATAATACATGGGTACCCAAATACTAGGAAGAGGGTTGTCTTCTTTTTCTGGTGCCTCCTTGGGCCTGCCTTTGCTGTCTCCCAACCTGGTTCTCATTTCTGGTAAGGTTTTGCTCCTGCAGGCATAGCCACCCATTCAGAAACATGAGCTTCTCCGTGGGTGCCAGGGACACTTGGCCCTTGGGTTCTCATAGTTCACATACCTAGAGATGGGAATTGGAAACCCTTGAGGGAAAAGCAGATGGGACCACAAGTGCTGGTGGGTGGGGAGGATGCAGGAGAGGTAGAATTGGCAGCTAACTGGATGAAAGACATGTGGTTTCCAAGGCTCCTGGATGCTCAGCAGTGATGGTGGCCAGGTGGATCTTGTGATGTGTCTGATTGCATTGGTTGTTTCTGGGTCCCAGGCCCATAGGGCCCTTTGAAAGGATAAATCTTGGCCAGAAAGACTGGCTTCTGTGGGAGGAAGGGCCTGGCCAAGTCTCCTTAGGTTATGGGGCTGGGGAAAAGGAGTTAAGGGTATAGACTGGGTTTGGCTAGGAATTTCCCAGACAACCATCATAACCCTTGGCTCAGGTTGAAACCGCTGCTTTGGATGAAAGTCTAATTGATGCCTCAGCAGTAAAGAACAGGCCTAATGTGATGGTTGCATGAAGTGGTCCCTTTAGGGAGCTTTTCCAAGCACAAGGTTATCAGTATCCTACATGTAACACCCTAGGGGAATATACCAAAATGGAAGGTAGTTAATCTAACAGGTGAAGCAGCCTACTTGAAGAGCAAAATTGAATATTACCTACATAGCATGACTCTCAGTGACACCACAAACTTTGAGATCCATGAATAATTACAGAGGACTGTGGGCTAGGCTAGTGCCAGGTCCTGGGGCCCAAAGACACTGCTTATACTTTCCTTTTGCTTTTTCTCCTTTAGTTTTTATAGTTTTATTTTCACATTTAATTATTTCACCCACCTTGGGTTCATTTTGGTGCATGGTATGAGGTGTGATAGAAAAATATGGTGAATATTTAAATTTTATTATAATAGAAGACACATTGTTGTTAACACCCCTCTAGCCCCTCCCCATTTTCAGCACAATTATTCCATCATTCTCTCCACTTTCTAAAGCAATCTTGGAAGTTCTCTTTTGTAATGACAACTAAACTTTGCGTTTAGCAACTACAGTCTAGCTGCCTTGATGTTCTGAATCAATTAAAAACATTTACCTTGCATCATTATTTTAACTTTGGGGAAGAGCCGGAAGTCACATAGTGGCCAGTCTGCTGAAGAAAGTGGGCGAGGACATACTGTAATGTTTTTATGAAGCTACCTTTCCAAAGGATTGCACTTGGCCACAGCATTCATCACATTTTTGGTCACACTTCAAAGATGCTCATGAAAGAAAACTTCCAGAACTGCTTCAGAAGCTGGCAAGATTGATGGGATGTATTCCAAGTGAAGCAGGGAGTATTTTGAGGGGACTAGTGGCAATGTGTCTTTTACTGTAATACATTTTTAAAATTTAAACTTTCACCAAATATTTCTATCACATCTCAAATTAGGTGAAGCTTTGAAATGATTTCCCCCAATTGCAGAATACAAGTCCCTTCAGAGGCTCAGGAGTAAAAATAATTTTATAGTCAAAAAAGTTTAGGAACTGTAGTTTGTAGTATAGCTACCATCAGCTTAGAGATTCACAGTATACATTACTGAAGCAAAGGCTCTTAAGGAGTCTTGCAGTAAGGAAATTTGCAATTTTACCTGACTGTTGGCCCCCTCGTTATGTAACGCAGTGCAGAATACTCCACTTTGGAGTGAAGATGGTTCAAGGCAGAACTGAGACCGAGGCTTCCTCTGCCACAGGTCCAGCTTCTGCACACTGATGGATCTGGGCCTGGCCCAGAAGTGTGATGTACGCATGGCCAGGGCCTGCAGCGTCAAGAGCTCTGCCAAGAGCCACAAGCTTTGGATTTCCCCTGGTAGGACATGGTGGCCTGTGTGGTGCCTGACTAAGGCTTCACAGAGAAACTTTTGCCTGGAAGGGTGAGCAGAATGATGTGAGGTGTCCCTGTGAGGGCAGGATATCCAAGGGGGATACCCGTCCCAGGCAGTGACCCACACCATGGTTCAGAACCAGGAGATATAAAGAGCTGTGTGGACGGGATGCCTGTGGAGAAGCCAGGTGAGAACACAAGTGCCTATAATGTGGGCAAAGGAGAGTGTGAGCTAGAACTTTCTTACAGGCACTAGGAAAGGGTGCTCAGCACTAACTTTCCATGTTCTGGGTCTGCCTTGACGAGGCGGGTCTCCCAGGCCTCATTAGGACAGTCACTGCAGGCTGCCACATGTGGCCCTCTCCAAAGTTCTCTCTTTCCTCAGGGAGTCTACAAAGTTCTTTTCTTGTCTGAAACAAATAACCAGGGAGTTGGAGTGGAGAGAGAGGAGAATGTGGGGAACTAGATTCCTAGGGATTAATTAGGGTCTTTCACTGAGATCTGTTTCCTCTTTGGAGGCCAATTAAAGCAACTGGAAGCTTGAGAGGGGTGGTAAATGTGTCGAGTGCTTGAGACAGACACTTCAGTCCTCAGCTGGGTTGGATCCCTAAGGGATGAGTAGACCTCAGGGCAGTCAAAGTAAACAGCAAAGACAATCATGGAATTGTTTTCATCATCTAAGAGCAGGGCTTTAGGCTTGCTCTGTAGGAAGTGTGTTGTTAACATCTCAGAGATCACTGTATTTCCCTAGTAACTGTCTGGTACTGAACACCCACTAGGAGCCAGGTACCAGCCTGGGCTTTTGCAATCATGATCTCATTTTTATTTTATTTTATTTTATTTTATT